TTACACATAGTGGGTGGCAAGTGAAACACTGCAGGTGTGGGCCGCAAGGGAGGTACTTTGGAAGCTTGGTAATCCACGCAGGTCGAGGGGCCAGGCCTCTGCAGCCGAGACAGATGGCATGGCAGCGCGCAGGCGAGTTACGGAGGACCCTTCATCCTACATCCAGAGTCTCCAATGCCCTGGGTAGGCCAGGGGTAGCGTCAAACTTCTCTGGCTAGCAGCCCAGCGCTCGCCAATTCCACCTCCTCCATTGGATCCGTGACCAAAGGTAACTTTGTGGCAGCGCACATCTCTTGCGGAGAATCCTGCGCTAGCTGCTGCTTTCTCAGGCTGATGCCCCTACCATCTCCAGTCCCAATCACCGCCTGCTCTTGAGCCAATTTGGGATTCTGTACACCTCTGACCCTTCTCCGCCCACTGTTTTTTAAGTAAATAAGTGACATATATGTTGACCAGAGGCAGAGCCTGGGAATACCGGTTGCGACAGGTCTTCCCATAAGCCATGCCCTCTTTGGTAAGGAAGTCCCTAGTTGTGTAGCAGTTGTGACTTTCAATCCCCGTGGGTAGGGCCAGCACATAGGTGTCAGTGAGACAGCAGGCAGACTCAGGGTGCGTCTGCCCCATAGACACTCCAGCCCAAAGGCCAGCGACCACTGCAAATAGGAAAGTGTGAGGCCAGAACTTGTAACGGAGCTCAAAGTATGAAAAAAAAAAAAAAAAAAAAAAAAAAAAAAAAAAACCCTGAAAAATAACTGAGTGCAGAAGTACCTTGAATAGTATGAGGGCATTAGCCACACCAGCTTGGTTTTACCTTATCTATGTCTAATGTCTAAACTGCATTGTTATTGTGGTTGATTTTTATCTGAATGTATTTATATTACCATAAAAGGGTTTAGTAGGCTACCTATATTTGCTACAGCAATGCAAATAGCTATTAAAATAAAGTCATCCTTGACACCATATGAAGGACCCCTTCTAGATCTGATCACATGTTGGAAAATGCTATAGTTGGGTATGATAGTCAAGAGAGCCCAGGGTTTCCAGCCCTGCCATGTGCTGGGTGACCTGAGACTTTCTCTGCTATTCTTCCTGAAACCTCCAGGGGCTGTGCTGAGAATTATAGGCACATACAGTTTGGCAAGTAACCCATTCTCAGTAAATGCCAAGTTTCTTCTTTCTCCATAGGATAGGCATACTGCACTCACAACATTTGTGATATGTGTGCAGGGATGACACAAAACTTTAGATCAAGGAGTGGTAGGGTCTTGGCTGACCCACCCTGGAAGGTTCAGCAAAGCACTATGCAGACCATTTGCACAGGAAGAGAACAGAGTCCCATCCTCAGGTGCCTACCAGTGGAGACTTGCCCCCCTCCATTCTACTGGACTCCTAAAGTGTCTAGACCAATGACGGTGAACCTGTTAAGAGCTTTCAATGACACAAACAGCCTGCTGCAGCATGTGTGCCATAGGTTTATCATCATGGTCTAGATCCTCCAGCCTTTATCTCCCATCAGCACAGAGTTAAGGGCTATCTTAGGAGAGAGCTTCATGTAAAGGTACAAGATTCCAATGATGAATGTAAATGTACTGTATACCTAAAAAGTACCAATAAACTCAATGAAAAAAAAATAAATAAGGAGAGAAGAGAACTGAGAGGGAGAAAAAGCAGGCTTCCCAGGACCAGGCCCACTGAAGTGGGGAGCTGTGGCCCTCTTGCTCCCAGTCCAGCTTTAGTCCTAGCCCACAAGGCAAACCTACAGACAGGTACTTGCCAGCCACCCCAAGATGCCCCAACAATGTGACAATGTTGTGAGCAAAGGATTGGACTAAAAAAGGAGAGCTGCAGGATGAGAATAAAGGGCTCCTTTTTCTTTAGGCAAGTACCTTCCTTTCTCTGGGCCTCTTTTCCCCATCTAGTAAATGGAACAATGAGTCATTCTCTCAACAAATTCTTATTGAGTGCAGACCATGTACTGGACACAGCAGGGAATAAGACAGAAGAGGCTTCTGCTCTCAGGAGTTTACACTCTGGAGGGAGAGAAACTATAAACAAACAAATGAACAAGAACATTTCCTAAGTGTTGTAATTAAAGCAAGGCAGGCAGGGCCAGGGACATAGCTCAGTGGCACCGCACCTGCAAATGCAAGGTCCTAAGTTTGATCCCCAGTTAAAAAAAAAAAAAAAAAGTAAGCAAGAAAGAAAAAAACAGCAAGGCAGTAAGAGAAAATTGAAGTTAAATGAGAGCCAAGTACCTTTCCAGGCCACTGTTCAACTCCAAAGGGTTTTTTTTGCTGGAGTTCTGTACTAAGACAGACCAGGCAGCCTCCATGTCCTCAGATGTCTTATAGAAGCCTTTGTCCAGACATGCTATAGCTACCTCTTGTAACCTAAACCAGAAGAAACATTTCCAAATTTGTTGCCCCCAGTCCAATCCTATCCCTATCCATTGGACCAAGACTTGGCCTCCACCCAACATCATAGACCTGCTGTACAAATGTGCAAAATATAAGACATTTTATACTTTGAGCAATCAAGCACTTGAAAAAAAAAAAGAAAGTCCTAGTTCTTGTTTTTATTTTTCAGTACTGGGGATTGAACCCAGGATCTCATGCATACTAGACAAATGTTCTGCAAATGAGCTAAATTCCCAACCTCTGTGGCTGAGTTTTCTGACTTTTAAATATCACTATAGGTGTATGCATTGGTCAAAATATAGCACATGTACATTTAAGATACATGTATTTCATTGCATATAGTTTGCCTGAGAAGAAAAAAAACTAAAAACAAATAATAAACTCTAGTTAATGAAACGCATTCTCAATAATTTAGAAGTATACTGATGTCTGCATTTTACTTGGAAATGTGTCAAGAATAAATTGGCCAAGATGGTGGCACATGCCTGTAATCCCAATGAAGGAGGTGGGGGCAGGAGGATCAAATTCAACTCCTACTGTACCTGTATGGCTTAATGACACCTTGTCTCAAAAGAAAAATATTGAAAAATAAAGGGCTGGGATTATAGTTCTGTGGTAAAACACCATTAGGCTCAATCCCCAAAACTGTAAAAATGGATTAAGAAATGGATAGATGGACAGATGTTTGATAAATCAAGTATAGTAAAATGTCAGTGGTAGAATCAAGAAGTGGTTATAATAGGTAGCCACAGTAAATATTCTTTCAACAGGGTTATTATGTTGGAAAGATAATAAAACAATGGGGGAAATTAGTGGTTAACTACAAAAAATACACAAAATGTCTTTAATTTTCAAATAACTCTCCCAATGTATAATCCCAACGTATACATGTATACATTTTCCACATGTATACACTTTTCATGAAGTTGTGGTCACAGTAAAGTTTGTCATTAAGTTCTCACATATTTAAAACTTCATGTGTATAGTATTTACTATTTACATTGCAGAGGAAGCAAGTAATGTCCTTTTTGAGATGTAGTTTTATTTTCTTTAAATCATATATAATACATTCTAAAAGTACTGGTGAAGTCTTCCATCCTAGAGAGGAAAGACTGGGCTGTTTGGTAACAACTTTTTCACTAAGAACTAGAAGAGCTGGAGAAACCTTTTTAAAAGGCCTTAAACAGATACAGGGCAGTGAGGAATCATTGGGTCAAGGTTAGGGAGGAAAAAAAGTCCACAATGAGTATTGGTAAATTCTTTCCTTTCCTTGGAAGTGTCTGCACATTCCAAAGGGAAGGCTATGGCTGTGCCAGAATGTGATCCAAGAAACCAGAGACAATAATCCCAAAAACCTGTTACTCCTCTATTAAGTAGTGGGGACTATTTTACCTTGAAATTCATGAAATGGGTTTATGAGACTACCTTGAAAAACGAAGTGGTAGGTAAGATACTATGAGACTTCCAAAGCTAGAACAGATTCTACCTGGTTCCCTCTCGGGATGCTTGCCCTTGGGATCCAGTGACCATGCTGTGGAATCCTGTAAGTTGTAGGTGTTCTGGTATACACAACCCTAGTTAAGGTCTTGATCACTGGCCAGCTTCAACTAGACACGTGAGTCTGTGGGTGATTTCAGCCCCCAGCTATTAAGTCACCCCCAGCCTTTAAGTCTTCTACTTGATGCCCAGACATTGTCAAGCACATGTAAACAATCAATAGTGCATCCTGACCTAATTCTTGATTCACCTAATAAATGCTGAACAAAATAAATGGCTTACAATTTGAGTTATATCCTCTTGAAGGATTTTCAGAAATTTCCACTTACAAATTAGATGGGAGGGAAAAAAAAAGACAGATCTTAGCAGGCTCTGTGTCTTTCACTCTCTTCATGCATGGTCAGGCCTAGGAGTGTGAGAGGGAAACACCTGAAATTTTATTGAGGCCTGTTCTCCCTCTGGACTTTAGTTTCCTGCTTTCTCTTCCTTCTACACAAAGGAAAGCAACTGAAGGAAAAAGAAATGCCTTCAATGATGGGTGAGAGAAGTATGGTGCACTGGAGTGCAAGCTGAAAGCTGGAGACAGAGGAGGGCCAAGAACATGCCTTACTGATTGGGCATGAAGCCTTCACAGAAAATAGGGTGGAGCCAGGGAGTTTCCTATTCGCAATTCTTTTTGGACCCTCCTTTTTTCTTCAGCCCAGAGATCATTCAAGATCTCCCCACTATTGGGTAGAACAGACTCCCAAATGGTCACATACCTCACATGAGTGCTTTGATCTTTACTGTAGGCCAAACTGGAGGTCTTGCCTTACCTTACCCTGATTACAAAGGGTCTGATTCCAGTTCCAGCTTAGGGCTACTGGGGAGGCTGAGGTGGGAAGAATGCTTGAGTCCAGGAAGTTGAGGTCTCTTTCTCCTCTCTCACACACAAACAACACACACACACACACACACACACACACACACACACACACACACACACACACACACACACACACACACACAC